AAAAAAAAATCACCCTATACAATGTTACAAACATAGGTGTAAGTCCAAATGTAGGCAAGATAAGTTAAACTTACTTTTCTTATTTATTTAACTCGTTAAAAGTTAGTAAGTATTACTTATATACTCTAATTAGTTTAATCAATTATAAAATCTAATCAGGAAAAATGAATTACCTCGTTAACGCCAAGATGTAAAGGATGTAACATATAAAATCAATTTATGTCAAGATAATATCGAGTTATTTTTGTTTAATTTATGACATTTTACTTATCTACAAAATACCATGTTAGTTTTCTTTTATTTATTATACTTTACTGCGGTCTGCGGGAAATTTATAGAACAGTTTTATAAAACACTTTCAGTCTTGTTATATACATCAACTCTAGTATAGTGGTTTATTTTTTGTTTGGTTAAACTTTCAGTTATACATATATATATAGTTTTTTTTTTCTATATTATTATTCAATATGAATCATTTACATGACCATAATTATGTTTTACTTTTTCCCAATCTCAAATGTGTGTAAAAAAAATGCGTCGGCGCCGTCATTCCGACAATCCATTTACAATCGAAGAACTGATAGATACCTTAAGCCAGCATCAAAATTCAGCATATGGAACAAAAATGCAGAATCCGTCCTTAAAGTAAAATTTCACATGTATTATCTAATAAAATAAAATATTTAAATATATTTTTATTTAGTTTTTTTTCAACAACAATTACTGTTTATGGTAGAAGGCGAACGGGTTGGCGTCATATTCTCAAATTTCGATGCGATTCAAAAATATAGATGAGAACTGCTAACTGTAAGCTTTGCAGGAATTGACGGCACATTTAAAAAGGTACCAAAAAGTCCACCACACCTAACCAAAGGATGTCTATTAACATTTCAAGTGGTTTTAAAAAATGTAGTAAGTATAATTAGTAAATTAATAAATACCTCTATATACCAATAGCTTCTCAAGTATATATACCTATTGACTGTATTTTCTATTTAAGTCTTTTCCGATGGTCTATGCGCTGACTTCCCGAATAACTCAAGCTACATACGAGTCATTCTTGAGGATTGTTCGTGAGGTTTTGCCATTGAATTATGYCCAGTTAACAATCATATCTGATTATGAAAGGGGGTTAATAAATGCAGTAGAATCAACCTTTCCKGAAAGCAGATTCCAGGGTTGTTGGTTCCATTACTGTCAAGTAAGTAATGTAAATCATTAACTATTAAGGTACTTAAGTATTTTATATCAATCAAGTTATTTTTTATTAGGAATAGTTAATATAAATGTACAACATTTAATTAATATTTTTTAGGCTATTGTAAGGTATTGTAGAAGAAGTCTAAATAGTATTTAGTATTTACCATTTATTCCAATCGTATCTCGAGGCAGCTTAGCAGCTACAATATTGTACATGGTAATTTAGTCAGAAATTAATAAGAATAAAATATTAATACCTTATACTGTTTTACAAAAATGTCTGTTATAGATCTTAGCTTTACCACATTTACCTGCTCAAGTAGGTACACCCCAATTGTACATCCGACGCCGCGGTCGCGGCGCAGAGCTAAATAAAAAAAGAAACTAGCGCGCGACGACGGTGTATATTACACAAGAAAACCAACTTGTATTTAACCAATATTATTTTACGAAAATTATGTCGACTACCCTGTAGCCTAAACTAATTAACCGATTGACTTGAAACTTTCACGAATAGCTCAGTTTGTCGTGTAGATAATTCTGTGAAAATTTAAAGTTTATCAGAGTATTACAGCCTTAGTTATATGCTAAAGTATTAGCATAATAATTAAGCAAAACGCTATTTTTTTCATCAATTCCACAATGTATATGTTTGTGCTGGCCGCCCATTTTTTTCCTTCCACTCGTCGGTTGCAATCACTCGTTGCGTAATCCGTCGTCACGGGGCTGCGTTGAACTATCTGGCCGCCTGAATTTCCCTCTCCATACAACGGGTTTACGTCTTTTGTGTATAAATGTGAAACAAAACATTTGATAACCGACAGTACTATACAGTAGTGGTGCCCGTTGCAGGTGCGAATCCAAGGGGGGGGGGGTAGGCAAGGGGCCATGGCTCCCCCGTAGACTGGTGGATTTTCTATTATATCTATTTTCGGCAGCCGATAAAATGTATTGTTTTATCCGAAGAGCGCTTAAATCATAGATAATAAAGATATGGATAGGACATAACGGTCTTATAAGTGGGAATTAAGGGGTACAATTGAGGCCAAATAAGTATACCTATATCGAGTATCGACTATCAATATAAAAGCATTGATAAAAGAGCCTCAATTGCCTCTCCTCCGGGAACGCGGCCTTAAATATATTTATTGTAGGCGTAGCCTATCCATATCTTTATTATCTATGGCTTAAATGGACTTGCATTACTTAATTGTTATAGAAATATTAGCATTGTGATCATTTTTTAATATTTATTGTTATATTTTATTATTAATTATTACTTATTATATATTACGTATCATAATTAATTAAACCATTTATATTACTTATCAAATTATTCTATATAATATTTTATTGTACTGATAAACTGGGTTTAAATAATAATATTTGCCTATTTGCTTTTTTCATGGTTGTTTTTATAGCTTGATGTACAGCCCACAACACAACACTTCACCATAGTATAATTTACCAAGTAACAATTAACAATAAAAAATTACAAATTTACGTTTGTAAACGTAAAGAGAACCACCGCGGTTTTTTACTTTTGTATTAGGTAGTACCTTCTGATAAAAACGGTAAAGTGAAAATATGATAAGTAATTACTATGTAAAAACCCATAGGCTATAATTTAAGTGATCAGCACTTTGTTCGTAAAATCAATTGTTTTTGAACAATTAACAAAAAAAATACAAAACGACTTACGTTCTACATACGAATGTAGGGCCAGACACAACTAGCGCTTTAGTTCACGCGGCCACAACCCTTGGTCGTTCTGTTGTTCAGTACAGTATAGCACGAGTTACAACCTGTGTAGATAACCGTGACAAAGACAGAAGAGTAGCTCTTCTTAAATGTCGTATTCCATCTACGGCAAATCGTAAATCAGAGTGTAATTTGGTTGTAAATAAACAGCATAATATTGAAAAAATAATACAGATATATTGTCTAAAAAACAATTGAGTTCTAAAAGAGCAAAATTAATTATTTCTAATGAATCGAAAGATCAACATGTTAAAAAAAAGCAGAGTAAACTGTCTAAAAAACAATTGAGGTCTAATAGCATAAAAATATACCTCTCCTCTCCCAAACAAATACATTTCATCACCACTTGAAATTAATTACATATATCTAAAATCGTAATTAAAAAATGAGTGATATCTAATCAAAAACACTCCATGTAAAATCATCGCTAAGTAAAAAAAATCGCTTAAATTACAAAAGTAGTGATATCAAAAATTGGCAAGGTAATTTCATAAATTCATTGATATAAAAGTATTTATAACTGTTTGTATTTATTGTACCTTGTGAATTTATTTAGTGMAAATAATTTTACTTAGCTTGGCGGCTATTAGAAGAATGTATTTAAATAGTTGTATTGTTCTATAGCTTAACTATAGTAAAAATATGCAAATTTATGCGAATATTTATGTATAAATCGAGACATTTGGTTCTTATAGTTGAAGACACATAAATAATCGTAACTGCGCCAAGCTAAGTAAAATTATT